CAAAGGAAGGGTGATGCAGCATCTGACAATAAAAATGACAATTTACTGGGTTATCTGAGTTGAATGTAAACACTTACAATGCATGTCTAGCGTGACCGTGGCGAGGAGAGGAGCGGTAAAGTTGGAGTTGGAGGCCTGGCAGGTGAAGACTCGACGGAGATCCTGGCGAGACAGTTCGGGCACCACCAGTAAGTTACTCACTTCCTGTACCTCTTTTACCTCTGAGGCCAGGTCGAGTAGGGTTGGCCCTTCCCACCACGTGACTCTAGGAGGCGGCGAGCCTCCCCTGGCCCGGCAGGTTAGGCGAAGGGTATCCCCTTCCGTAAAAGGACCCACAACACTCCGGGTGAACACCCCGAGGTCGGTGTAGATTTCTAGACGTCGAGGGGGAACTGTTGTTGTCACGGAATAGGAAAGGAAGTAAATATAGAGGAGAAAATATTATATATATATATATATATATATATATATATATATATATATATATATATATATATATATATATATATATATATTATATATATATATTTATATAGATGCGCAAAACAACCACTCTGAAAGAATAGAGAAATTCCAATCGATTTCGTGACTACTCACATTATCAAGGAACTATGAAAGTAAAGCATCCAAGGAAGCTATGTAAGGGGCTGGCCAACAACTCACTATCAGATCCCACAACGGTTAAACACCTGACGCGCGCCGACCCAACTGGATAGGTCCTTTGCACAACTCACCCACAAACAGAATAGTTTGTGGGCGAGTTGTGCAAATGAACCTATCCAGTTGGGTCGGCGCGCGTCAGGTGTTTAACCGTTGTGGGATCTGATAGCGAGGTGTTGGCCAGACCCCTTATATAGCTTCCTTGGATGCTTTACTTTCATAGTTCCTTGATAATGTGAGTAGTCACGAAAGCGCTTGGAATTTCTCTATTCTTTCAGAGTGGTTGTTTTGCATTTTATATATAATATATATTATATATATATATATAATATATATATATATATATATATATATATATATATATATATATATATACGCACGCACACACATTTCACATCGGCCGCTTCCCACCAAGGTAAGGAATAAAATAAAATATAAATACAAATGGAAAGGCTTTTTAATAAGTCGGCCACAAATGAGAAAAATTCTTTAAGAATCCCATGCACGCATAATTTTAAGAGCTCGGAGAAAATTAAAATGCCAAAGCCCATGATGATGTTCCGAGACGCTCTCCAGCTTATTAAAAAAGGCCTCTACGGATGGAAGCATGTGTCGCATATTTTAGCAGAGGAAAGTTAACGTTTAATTTGGGAGTGAGGATAGTAATGTCAGTGGGAACAGTGGTGTATATAAGGAATAGTTTGGAGTAGATAATGATTTGTAAATAAGTAGTTACTGATGATGGTGAGGGCAGGTATAGGTGAAAATAAAGGTATGAACGTTGCAGATATAAGGTTAATAGTGAATGTAAAGACAGTAGTAGTTGTGAGAATACAATTAATGATGAATATGACAAATAACACAGACAAAGTTAATAGTGAGCAGCTGTTAGGGATGATAGGGAGAGTAGGGATGGTGATACTTGGAGGCTTAGTGCTGAGTATTAGGGAACTGATGATGACAGTGGAGCTGGCGGTGAAAGGGAAAGTAGAAACAGTGAGGCAGAAGACAGTGAAAACGGGATTTGGTTAGGATACTAGAGAAAGAATGACAGTTGTACAGTCAGACAGCAGAAACTCCGTATCGTGGCTATCTGCTATGGACTACCTTTAGTCTAGTTACTAGTTTTGGCAAGATAATCGAAACTGAAAAGGCAAAGGAAAAAGGCTCTGGTCACAAAAGTTGATTGCGAAGGTTAAAATGTGTATAAAATGGTAACGTAATGGTGCAAAATGAATGAACTGATTAAGCACCTGGTAAGCGAAGTATCTAATAAAATACTTTAACGTGGACGTTGTGTCATTATCATCAATGCTACAATAATACTAATGATAATTAAAAAAATAATTATTAAACAAAAACTAAAAATGATAATTGGACGTCGCCCAGGTTTAATCTCAAATTTTTGAATTAGTGGGAATACTTCCAGCTACTGCAATACTACTTTTATTCTATATAAAAAACAACAATTACTCACCAATAACAGTGAGGTTGGTGGTGTAGGTGAGTGTTGGGTTAGTTTTAAAGTCCACTCGACACCTGTAGGTACCCTCGTCACCTCCATGCACCCGTTGTAACCTGAGGGAGGCGGTGTGGAAGTTGGCGCGGGTATCGAAGTGGGAGGGGTTCCTCCAGTGGCTGGCCGGGCTGTTCCTCATGTCGTAGCTGACAGAGAACGAGAGAAAAACTAAACTCCCGAATGGATGCGAGGTTTGCAAAAGCAGTGTTTTTGTTTCAGCCTATTTCACAACTAGAGGTCTGGTTAAAAATAGTGGCAGGTGAGGAAATAAACATCGTCAAATCAAATCTGACAATGAAAATGCTTTTATCTGAAATTGAAGCCGAGTACATTATTATATTTTGTTTCTCATATTGTAGGCTGAGGCAAAGAAAAAAAATACATAGAATTGTGTAGTTACGCTGATTTATAAGACGTTTTACAAGATTAGAGCAAGAAATACTGCTATAATTGTTACCTCTTTCTCGGACTAGAGGAGGACTCTTACTCACCTGTAAATGGGCTTACTGATTCCGTCCTTATACCAGAGCACCAGAAGGGCTGGGTCAGCCAGTAGGGGAGAGGTCAAGTTGCAGGGAAGGTCAGCCACGCCCCCCTCCGTCGCCCACACTGACCTTGTCGGACCTGAGATGGAGAGGGGACGGAGGGTAATAACACAAATAGCTGGAAAACTATTTATAGTGCTGAGGAAATTTAATTTTATGCATGATCTGTTAATTTTCAGATTATCATCGTCGCCGATCCCCAATCTCAGACCAGACCTCCCAAAGCAGAAAGGAAAGAATGCAGTGGAAAGTATTAAGAAATACACATAGAGGTTAATGAACGTATAATATATACAAGTAGAATTTGCAGGTCATCTAACTTGTTCATTTCATACTGATACGAGAGGCTGGTAATACGTCCCTGAACGGTTGCTCTGTAAGGTTAAGGAAAAAAGAGACGCCATTTTACCTAGGAAAAGTTCCCATCCTCTCTAACTGATGTGTTGGACTTGACAGGGACTGGATGCAACGCTTTAGCGAGAATATTAACCACTGGCAAATATTCCTTTACCAGTAATCAACGTTCGTTTACCAGTAGTTTGAGTAATCGCATGTAACTTTAGTTCGTAAAGTAGGAGTGAAAAGGGATCAAAATTTTCATTAAAAGGAGAAAATCGTCAGTTACAAAAGAGTGGCACTTCCCGCATTGTGTGTAAGTGAAGCCAATGTGAGCTTGTCTCATTGTCTCACTTTAAAAGAGTTCTCAGAGAGCTCACCTTTTCACTCCGAGAAAAGTTTTCTTTTGAAGTTGGTAACTGAAGACATCACGTGTTCCCAATGACGAAAACCTTGGATCTAATGTTAATGATCTCCTGTTAGACAACCCTTCATAAGAGCAAGGGCAAGAGAGAAAATATCTTATAACTCAGCCTCAACTTCCTCTGAATAAAAAAAAAATAAGAACAGCCGCACAATTCGAAGATTTGAAGCAAATGCAATAAAATCGGAGTAAACAGGTGATTTCACAATATACAAAACAACTACTGTGAAAACATAGTGAACTTCCAAGCGCTCTAGTGATTTATCACATTATCAACACAACAGTGTCGTTTTTAATATGTAAGTAACTTCACGAGAGCTAGCTGAGGGTAATGTAATAGTTGGTATGGTAATATCAAGTTGCAGTTGATAAATACACTGTAGTACAAATTTTCCAGTTGTTGCTTGTGCGTCATTATCAACTATAAACTAAAGGCACACAGACGTTCCATATACCATAAGATTAAAGCAACTTTAATAATAAAAAAAAATGTGAGACCCCCTGAAGGAAAAACGGTTCTCTTTAGTATAAAGAGTGCGGGAGCTACTTAGCCGAGTGGAAGAGTGCTGATATCGTAAACTGTTATCAACGTAATTTAGATTCCTGACCAGTGCTCCGGCTTGATGAAGGTTACCAAAGATTGGAAAGAAGCGACAAAAGAAATAAACTTAAATTCACTCTCTTGGTATTATTCAATAAACTTTTGCAGCGTTTATGGATACTCACCAAAATGCAGAGTATAAGTCAAATGTCTAGACATTTTTTTTAGGCAGTCAAAAAACTTGCAAGAATTGAGACGTTTGCTGTAGTAAAGAAGCGTATCTCCATACCTTATGAAGCACTAATTTCCCTGTAACTTAGAGAGGAACATAACCCGAGTAAAAGGACTCGTGCTTGTGTCGTTATCCACATAATGAATATGCAACAGCGCAGTGAAGAATTTACCTACGCAACCTGGCTGTGGGAAAGGTTAATTGGCCAGCTTTTCACTCCTAGTTTGCTACCCCCTGATGGGGCGCCTGACTCCAGGATGATGCTAACAGTCAGGTAAACGCCTTTACCAATAATAAACTGGATCTCCAGCACAAGTGCATCACTCATTGGCAGTATGTTTACAAGGTCTTCAGATCAGCTTAGGCTAGACTAAAGCTTTCCTAAGGCAGCTTAGGCAAAAAGTGCGGCTTGGAAGAGGTGCAAGAGGCTTTCCACTACCCACAAAACACCAGAGAAAATAAGATTTCATATTTCTTAGTAATTGTAAATAGGGATTACAGAGACCATAATTTCAATTACGATAGTACGATGAAGAAATACAAAAAATATTATTCTTCACAAAGAGAGTGGGTGATGAATCACGAAATCTTAACACGTTTACACAAACCATGGAACAAGAGGGGTTTAACGACTCACTCACCATGAGTACAAACCCCACCCTTTCCGGGGTTAGAGTGGCTGATATAGAGAACGGGAAAAAAGAGGATAAAATATGTGCAACAGCCGTTGAGAACTTTAAACAAATATGTGACAAATTGATAATAAAAACAGAAACCCCAATATTCTAGTACTGTAACTACAAACACGAAATTATACACACAACACACACACACACACACACACACACACACATGAGCAGTGAAACGACCCCCGTAACAACATATAGGTGAGTACACACACACACACACACACACACACACACACACGACACATGAAACTTTTCAAGGAACAACACTCGATGTTAAAGAAGGGCTCTTGAACCCAGGAATTAGAGCTACTCTCCCATTCCTTAAATCATTTATTAATCCCATTCCTCAGGCGTGGTATATTTTGTACAAGTTTAGGGCTGTTAGGTAAGACACATATGCAACAGTTAGGTATCTTTATTATGAAACGTTTCGCCTACACAGTAGGCTTCTTCAGTCAAGTACAGAAAAGTTGATAGAAGCAGAAGATACTTGAAGACGATGTAATCAGTCCATCACCCTTAAAGTTTTGAGGTGGTCAGTCCCTCAGTCTGGAGAAGAGCATTGTTTCATACTATGGAACAATGCTCTTCTCCAGACTGAGGGACTGACCACCTCAAAACTTTAAGGGTGATGGACTGATTACATCGTCTTCAAGTATCTTCTGCTTCTATCAACTTTTCTGTACTTGACTGAAGAAGCCTACTGTGTAGGCGAAACGTTTCATAATAAAGATACCTAACTGTTGCATATGTGTCTTACCTAACAACCTGTCGGTATTTTATACCATTTTAATGTTCAAGTTTAGGGCTTCCAGAGAAGTTAATAATACTTCAAAAAGTTGTCCTCACCACCATGAGTAATAAGTTCCCAGTCTATTTTATTACTATGAATAAGTCGTCTCATTCTGCGGCCCAACTCCAACAATTTCCTTCAACTTATTTATCATCCTCATTCTCCTTTACATATCTTCTTAAACATCCTTCATCCAATTGTGATCTTTTCTTTCAATTACTTTCACATCTCTCTCATTTCTTCACATTCTTCAGTTTCCTTAACCTCAATTCGTTTAGCGTTCTACAACAACCCCAAAGTCATTCTACACGTCCCTGCGCTTCTTCAGTTGCTTCAATTTATCACATCATCTCTCTCTCCCTCCCCTATCTGACTCATGGTTAGTCGGCTTCCGCCTCACATCTTGGACCCCTTGTAATATATTTTCCAGGCAGTTTCCATTCTCCAGTTATCAGAAGTCGATAATTTATGCCCCGCGATATCCTGTCAGCTTGCTGGCACTGCAGGTTGCTACTGACAGTATTTTTTTTTATTTGTCTATAGGATTCTGTGCGTGCAACATACATCTCGGAGAGGTTGGTCAATCCTGTGTAGATATATTTATATAATAGCCTGTCTGTAATTACCAGTTTTGGGTATAGGAATAGACCACTGCATGAAGTGTTCCGAATTCATTAATTAGTTATATTTCAAATTATCCAGTGTGTGTGTGTGTGTGTGTGTGTGTGTGTGTGTGTGTGTGTGTGTGTGTGTGTGTGTGTGTGTGTGTGTGTGTGTGTGTGTTAGAGCTCAGGAAGTTCGTGACTTTAGAACTGCCAAGCAAGTTTAGATGTACGTGTCTTTTCTGACCAAGTTAAGCCAGAGTTACTTTGGTTAATGTTGTTTCTGAAACTGCATTCCATTTTATATACTGTCTCACTTTCTCACTCTCTAATATAATAATAATAATAAATTATATATACATATATATATATATATATATATATATATATATTAATATATATATATATATATATTTTATATGCAATAAGATCACAGTAAACAGGTGATTTTAAAATATGCAAACCAACCACTGTGAAAGAGTAGTGAAATTCCAAGCGCTTTCGTGACTACTCACATTGTCAAGGAACTATGAAAGTAATACATCAAAGGAAGGCAATTAAAGGGCTTAGACCACACATCACATTCAACTCCCACAACAAAGAAACCTGACGCGGGACAATACCGGACTCATAAGAAAAGAGGAACACTGCAGTAGGTCCGCTGGTCCAACTAGACAGGTCCTCACGACAACCCACCAACAAACCATTCTACCCAAGAAATAAGGTTTATTATTTGTCCAGTGTATTATTAAACTCTAACCAAATTTTATTAATTATAAATGAATCTAATTTATACAAACCTAAGGAAATATTCATATTATTTTCAAAACTACTTTTTATGAAACAAGATTCAATTATATTTCTGTCAACCATGGACTTGCCTGATACAACTTTCTCAACTTTTTGAAAATCAATTGGATGGTTAAAGTCTCTCACATGAATAAATAGAGCATTGGAATCTTGTCCAGTTCTAATGCTATATTTATGTTGTTTTAATCTAAATTCGAGACTTTTACCAGTTTGACCGTAATAAATTTTATCGCAAATTTTACAAGGAATCTTATAGACATCCGTCAGCATTTTGGGGGGAATTCTTTATCAAAAGTTTTTTTTTACTGTATCAAGATTTTTAAATACAACTTTAATATTAAAAGTCTTAAGAAGAGAAGGCATATCAACCAAATTTTCATGGTAAGGGAGAACCAACATATTTTTAGTTGAATAAGGTTGGTTGTCCCTTTTTGGGTTGTAAAAAGTATTTCTAGCAATTTTAAATTATTTATCAATTACATTTTTCGGGTATTTCAGATCATTGGCTATTTCATAAATTTTGGATATTTCTTCATCTATGAACTCTTAACTACAAATACGTAAAGCTCTCAAAAACATTGATGAGAAAACAGACAGTTTAACTTTATCTTGATGGGAAGAATAATAGTGTACATAGGAACAGTTATTTGTAGGTTTTCTGTAAATTTTAAATTTGAATTCATTATTACTCTTAATAATTAAAACATCTAG